TCCATCAACATAAATTGCCTTCATTGTCTATACATGTTCTGAAATGTTTCTTCAGTTTCTTAGTTTAAGCACTGACAACTTATATATGACTGTCTAACACCATAGAAAATAAATGTATAAATGCGAACGTTCCATCGTAGTTCGTGGTACGTATCCTTTATTCAATTGTTTATTATAAAGCAAAGAATAAACTAGACAAGAAAACGGTGAAACTTTTCCACATGTAGAATAAACTATATAAAATTAACAAATGTAGCTAACTTTTCAAATAAATTGTAACTCAATGTGTTTTGAACTTTTAAATAGTTGCCGATTTTGTGGTTACCATTGGAGATCCATATACATTCTCTGTGGAATGTTTTTCATTTTTAATCTATGCAAACTATCAGTACATGGCAGTTAGTAGTAGTTATTTTTTCTGTAAGAGTTTGATTCTCTAAAATCGTTTGACATTTATCATTGTATCTTGAATGATGGAAGTCATCTCCCTCTATTAGTGTTTTGGGACCTAGAATGTGAAGAAATATTTTTCGCTTAAATGTATGAAATTGCTTTTCGGCGAGTTTTTTATAGTGCAGTTCGTGATTCATAAAGTAATACCTAACACTTAAAGCATTTATAGGTATATGTGATATTTTAGATTTTTGTCCATGAATTGAAACCAACTTAAATGTTTTTAAGTTTTCTTAAGCTAAGATTTGCAGTCATATAACACTTTTGTACAACTAATTAATAGGTCTACTTCTGCCGCATCCTCTACAAGCCGGTCGACTACTTATAATTATCAACTTCTCTAAATTTTTTTTTCAAACCGGTGAAACTTTCATTTAGCGTAATCATATTTAGACTTGAAATATACATAATTACGATAATAATTATACCAATGATGCATTGACGCAACGATGTATGATGCATTAAACAAAAAAAATGTTTATAGAGGAATTGTGATGATGTTTTTGAAACTTGCGGTGAAGTCTAATACCGCTTGCGGTTAAGACTTATCATTCATTAAAGAATGACGGTTCTGCCAATTAGTTAGTGTTAGATGTTAGTACATTAGATGTTAGTACATTAGATGTTAGTACATTTTGCAAATCTTTTAAAGATTGCTACAATAACAAAATCCAACCCATAAACTGTACAAGATGTATCACTATAATAAGAACCATTAATTATAATGGCATTGTTTTTAATTTCTAATGTATTTTGACAATTTTTAACCATAATAATATCATAAACATATTATTTACAAAAACATATACAACACAAAACACTTATAATTACATTTATGTTTTTTTTTTTTTAATTTTTTTCATGATATCTTACTTGGTTTTTTGACATGACACCACCCTGTTTGTGTTCTTTAATTTATCATCTTTAATCTCACTACCAATCACAACATCTCCATCATTTAATTATGATCATCAACTTTGTTTTTATCATCAACATCAAAACTCACAATGTGCACATTCGTTCATTGTAACCAAACATTAAACCACAACAAACTCAACAAAAATAACAAAAATAACACTTCAACAACAACAAAAACAAAAACACTTCATAAAACTCGTTAACTAAATACAGAAGAATCAGAATATTTTTCTGAAACACTTGCGGCTGAACAATTCTCACAATATGCTCCAATAGTAGCTACAACAACAACATCAATGACCACAACAGAACCACAGTTGTCGCCGCCGTTGCCACCACCACAACAACAACCAATGCACTTACAACATCATCACATGCAGCAACAGCAGCAACAACAACAACAACATCATCAACAATATATGCATCAACAACAAACATTACCACCACCACCAATACAACACCAACAATATAATACGGCAGCAATCACACAAAGTAGTCAAGCAGCAGCAGCAGCAGCAACAACACAAATATATAATCAACAAAATCATCGGCAGCAACAACCCATACAACAGCAACAACAAACACGACAATTACAACACCAACAATATCAACAACAGCAACAACAACAACAATACCAACACTACCAACAACCACAAGCGCTGCGTCAGCAACAACCACAAACACAACCTATTAAGCAAACTTCTCATTTATATCCTACTGCAGATTATCACCAGCAGCAACAACAACAACACCAACTGCTACAGCAGCAACAGCAGGTGCCACAATCTCAATATCAACAACCCAACAACAGTTATAATCAGCTACGTTCAAGCATCTTGCAGAATTCGCATCATCCAACCGGCGCACTTCAAGCTGTGAATGATGTTAATACGCCCACCTATGCCTATGATCAATATGACAACAACTACATACGTGCCAGCAACAACAGCAGTAATAGTGCAGTGAATCCAGCTACCGTATATAATAACAACAATGGCGGCTTAAACTATACTACACCACAAACACAATTGAATGCAACATTAGCGCATCACAGCAATGGAGTTATAAGCAACGGCACAACTAGCAGTAACGGCGTAACCGTTGTTAGCGGCAATCCGAGCAACTCAAATATCGGCAAAATTGCCGATTATGATCCTTTGACCGATGGTCCACGTCAAATACCAAACACCGGTAGACAAAGTACCACACTTATCTATAGCTCAGATAGCCGCGGTTCTGGTGAGTTTCATCATGTAAACATGTATAGAGGCATGTGTGTAAAAATTGTAAAAACATTATATGTGTGTGTATGTATGTACTGTGTATGTATGCCCGGTGATAGATAACGTACCTAAGTAAACTACTCGAAAACATTCGTAATTTGTGTGTCATGTAAGCTAGACTTAAAAATATTCTTGGCAAATTGCTTTGTTCAGTAACACACAGAAATTTTTAGATATTTTATTATATATTTTAATATTATATATATGATTATAATCTATTATTATAGGTTCCAATTCTGCTTACCCAAAACGTATTGGCTCGGTAGCTGACATTGATCCTGCTAATGGCATTTATGGGTCTCTAACTGCTGATAACAATATTACAGCAAATCATCACCAGCAAATGCATCATCAAAACCAACAACAAAATCATCAGCAGAAGCAACAGCAATACTATCAGCAGATAAATAAGATGACCCAACAACCAACACCAATGCCGCCACAGCAACAACAAATGCAACAGGCTCCTCCACAACAACAAAAGTCATTAAAAACCAGTTTGGTTAGTATTTATGAAAATATATCATAATGTAAAGAATCATCCATCTTTATCATGAAACTTTTTAACCAATCCATCTTCAATATTATCTACTATCTCTCCACTCATTACAATAATATTAAAACAATAGTCAATTTTAATTTTTTACTATCAAGATATTACATATACGTATATAATGAAAAAGAATGGATGATTCTTTACAGTTTCTTTCTGTAAACGAATCTAATGTATTCTCATTTAGAACGAATATTTCCATGTATTGAAAGCCAAATGTTCCTCAATGTTTTCTATTTTTTCAAAAAGACATTAGTATTCGAAAAGAAGGGGTCCGTAAACGAAATGTTTAGAAATATTACAAATCAAAAAAAAAAAATTTCAAGAATTTATACATTTTCGGAGTTACATTCGGGACAAAATTTTTTTATAATATCAGTTTTTAAACTATCTGTTGATACCTAATAAATAAATCGAAAATTTTGTAATTATTTTACTTTTTCGCTATTCTTAGAAATAAAAGTAAAAAATAAAAAATAATATATATACACAACTAACTAACTAACTTTTTAATGTTTTATAATTTAGTCAAACTCAAATGCTAAAAGGTTTTGATAGTACGGCGCACACTTATATTTTACATCCTATTCTCACCTAATTTAACTCACTCCTCTTCTTTATATATATATATTATTATATGATTATAATAATTATAATATTAATCAAAACTAAGCTTTTCGTTTACTACCTTCAGTTTCCATAATTACATTTTAACAGAGACACTTGAAAATATTAAAGCTGTATATTTAATAAGTAATACGACAAAGAGTAATAAATATTTATATTAGATTAATAAAATGTAGAAATATATAATGAAGTAGTCGCGTCTTTGTCTTAAACGTTAGGGTAACCATAGAACGACTGTCTCTTTAATATGTGATCATATAATTGCTTTTTCGATTTCCATATTTAAAATTCTAATTTTTGATTTAATTTCTTTTCAATATCCCTAATGAGTGCATCAATGACATTCTAGCGTACCTTAAAAGAGCTCTGTGATATAACAATGAACTGATTTTTTGAGACAAAACGAGCCCACCTTCTATAACACAGTTTGCTATAGTCTTTTGTCTATCTAAATATTATTTTATTTTTTGTTTAATCCTTTCGATAACTCCACGAATGACTCGATGGAGTACCTTAAAATTAGAACAGAAATATTTATTTTTAAAGTCCATTTGATTGTGATTACACTATATATGTAAAATAACTGCTAAACAATTGTAAAATTAATTGTAGAGTAAATAAATTTCAAATCATATATAATTCGAAATAACCTGTATACTTTTATATTTAATATTTTAATATATTATACATAATTTTTATTATGGTTACAACGCCATAAAAAATTCGATATTAAGGTACCAATATTAACAATTTTTTACGCTATAAGAAAGCCCAGGAAAACGATCAAGAAGATTGTAAAGAAGAAGATTGATAAGAATATAATTTTATTATTTTTAAAAGTAATAAATAATATAAATATGTGTTGTATATATATATATATAATGTATATAATATATGATATATATAATATATGCATGTTTTATATATATGTTTTTTAAAACAGTCTACCTATATATTTATATACCCTAATTATTAGATTGTTCGATTTTCTGAACTTGTATTGTGAATAATTATATTTTCACCAATTTTTTTTGCACTCTAACAAGTATGAGAATAATACCGCGTTCATATATTTTCTAATCTTTACTGGCGAACACTGATCAAAATGTTTTTTGGCATCCTTACATCCTTATTTCAGATAAAGATTTTTTGTCTTTAAATGTTATAAATACCACAACAAGCAATACACACGTTTTAGATCTCTTAGATTAGAATATAAGTATGACAAGATCTATATATGAGATCTACCATTATCTTCTTGGGTCATTATGCCTTGTCTATTCATCAATTCTGATCCTTTTGTTTTAGTGATTAATTCAATTCCTTCAGTTTAGAAGTATACACTACAAAATTTAACATTTTTTTTAATAGATGCTAAAAAAAAATTCTTTCTTATTTTCCTGAAACAAAGCCGGTGCCGGATTGACAGATTAATTTGTGTATTCTGAAGGATATCTAAATAGACGAGCGATACCATGTGATAGCACTGCATTTGAGTTTCACATTTGGAAACGACATAGTTATTCGTAACAAGTTATTACTTAGCTATATATAGGGAGGTAATATCAGGTGGAGGCCGGAATAGAAGAAATTATTATATTTTATGACTAATTAAATTAATCCTTTATTAAAAGTAGAGCTCAAAATGTGGAGTTACTTTATTGGCATCTAACAAATTCGATAAATTTTAGCGGCATATAGACTTTATATGTAAGACTATTTGTCAGTAATTTTTAGTTAGCTAGCATATAAGATTTAGTCAGTTAGTAACGTTTAAATCTTACCTAGAACACTCTTCCATTTTTACCCAGTGATGTTTGCCACATAAATCTTATTAAAGAATTGTACACTTCCAAAGCCCTTATATAAGATGTGTCTTTGAGTAATAATAAATTAAAAAAATCTTTATTATGAATTTTCCAATATTATAATTTATAAGGCTCCTTATCTAGTAGCTTACTTTTTTAATCTGTTTTAGAAGCAAAACAACATTTACAATAAACAGAGATTAAAGGAAAATACAGCTGGTATGGGAAATAATACTCAAGGATTTTAAGAATTAGGAAAAATAATTTTATAAATTAGGAACAAAAATATAAAAGATGTGTGACAATTTTATGCATTTTAAAAAAATTTAAGATAACACATATGTTAAATTATTAATAAAAAAAATAACATTTTATAACATATACAAATTCATACATTAACAATAGCTCAGTAAGACCCATTTGTCCATAAGTACTGTAGTTGTATTCAAACTAACACTAAAAAACATTAGAATAACATTAAACAATAACTACATATTCATCTTTTTTTAGCGTGTCTATCGGGCTCTGTATGACTATGAGGCACAAGATACTGATGAAGTCAGTTTTCGTGAAGGAGACGTTATTTTCGAAGTTGATTCCATTGATTCCGGCTGGATGACCGGCAGAGTGGAACGTACTGGCAAAATTGGGATGTTGCCTGCTAATTATGTGGAGCAGGCGGTTATTTAATAGGGATTCTTTTATTACTGTTGTTGTCACCATGTTGTTGTAATAACTGTTTTTATACTCTATTTAATATTTGTATTAATACTTTTTATTAACATATTTTTAGTCGATAACAATAATGCTGGTACAATGAATAATTATAATACTTACCGAAATCCCCCAAATTCTCCACCCCCATCCTATCCAAAAGAAGAACAAAAACCCAATAAGCAAAACAAACAATCACAAGTTGAACAGGACTTCTATTACTATTTCAATCAGGTTTTCTAGCAAAACCAACAAAAAATGAATACTGAAGGAATTCCTTTTATTTTTCCCACAAACATAAAATAATTTTATTAACGTAATTAATTTTGTTTTTATTTAAAATTTAAAATTTAAAATTGCATAAATTCTAACATAAAGCAAAC